TAATGAAAAACTCATCTTGCGCGGCTCGATGATAGCGTGAAAGTGTTCAAACCTATCGCGTCTCTCCCTTTTATCCCCCATATGCCGTGACGTCATCAAACGTTCGATATCGTACACCCCACGTGATATAACGTTGCACATGCGTTGTATAACGTTACATCACGTCTATATTTAGCCTCCAACGTACAATCTACGATGTATAACGTTGCATCACGTTATGCTAAGCGCTGTGACGTCGCTCTATGCATGGACTCGTCTGTGACGTCATACCCTCAAATGGATTCGTCCTATGACGTCACTCCATGAATGGACTCGTCCGTCAAATGGATTCGTCCTTACGGTAATAAAACGACGGACCATCCCTCTCTCAGTATCAGAATGGCTGACGGCGATCCCATCATTCGCCTCGAGGAAAACCTCAATGTAGATACGCTCTTGTATCTCAGAGGGAATACTCTTGCCGTGATTACCCCTGACGATATCTTTGTCTTACCTGACGAGGTATTAAAAACACCTCCCAGGAAAAGACCCCCTCCCGAATTAGTGGAGACCATCAGACACAACCGACATAAAGTGCGTCGCACCCTCACGTTCTAGTGAGGCCAACGGCCCTTTTCAGGGCCAACTTAATCAATGCAAAAGAGTTGTCTCCCCTTCTTTTGGTCTTCCTTCCCCTCCTCTCCCCTTCTTCTCCCTTCTGCTCTCTTCTTCTTCTGCTCTCTCTCTCTCTCTCTCTCTCTCTCTCTTCCCGCGCGCGCGCGCCCTCTCTTTCTCAAACTAGGTCACTGCACGTGCAAGGGGTCACTCAGTGCAAGGTCATGACGAATTAGGTCACGGGGTCATTCAGTGCAAGGTCACACACCTGCAAGGTCACGGGGTCATGCACGTGCAAGGTCACGTGCACGCACATGCATGCACGCGCATGCGCCCACGCACGCGCAAAAAAAATGGCTGAACAGGCACCATAACTACTCATAGTACCGATTACAATACTAACTAAAGTCATTCTGAAACACTAGCCAGATAGACTCGATTTGGGCGAGTCTGCTGAATAGAAACTTCTACATCTTTTCCCTTCTAGAACCAAGCTGCTGTCTAACAAATTCTCACAGATATGATAGTTTTGTAGCTTTTGGCTTTGGATTTTCAATTATCTAATTGGTCAAATATTAGATAATTAATGACTTTGTGATAATCTCACAATTTAACGAGCCGTTAATTTTAGTTTTCCCAGGAAAAACTATTACCTACATCCCTATAATTAATTACATGGGATTTTTAACATAACCCAACTTTTTATTCAAAAGTTAAATTACCCAATTTACCATTAGCTATATATAGCTAATTAACCACATATACGAACGACACAAAAACATAAATTAACGAATCTCAGTAGAAACCACGGCCAACTTGGAAACTAGAGTTAATCACTCAAACGTCATCCTTAGATCTGTCGTCCTTCTACTGCGATCCAGAGACAACATTTGTTCCTTATTTCATTCCCTATTCCGTTTCCTTATCATTATTATTCCTTAGTTATATCCAGAAAAAAATGTATTTACCCAATTTTTTAAATAACTTCACCAGTTTTCTTTTTTCCACCAAAATTTTTTTTGCTGCTGGATTGTACAGGTTTTCTTCCAAATTTCTTCCAGGGTACTCGTTCTCGTAGTCACGTGCACCAAATCAAATATGTTTCTTCTTCTAAAGTGACTTCTTACCCCAAAGGTTGAAACTGCGTTACGGCACCAATTCAAATATGTAGCACCATGGGCCTTCTGTCAGACATGGAAAGCAGGCCATTTATTCCGGTCGCCACATCCTACGTACGACCCATGCATCTTTTCTTACTACATATCTTAGTAGCCTTGTGATCGTCTAGAATTTGTCTCTAGCTGTCTTTGCTTCTGCTTCACGTTGTGTATTTACTTCTTCCTGTTTTCTTAAAACGTTTGTCTTCTCAGTAGTTATAACAATGCAACAGTTCGTTTTTACATTTTATATAGCATACATGGATACAAGCATAGTACCAATTACAATACTAACTAAGTCATTCTCAAACATTAGCCAGCCAGACTCGATTTGGGCGAGTCTGCTGAATAGAAACTTCTACATCTTTTCCCTTCTCGAACCAAGCTGCTGTCTAACGAATTCTCACAAATATGATAGTTTTGTAGCTTTTGGCTTTGAATTTTCAATTATCTAATTGGTCAAATATGATGTAAATAATTGGTCAAACAAGCCAAATGATGCAATCGTAAATTTCCGTCACATGTTTTTCGACAGTCTTGCTACACTTTACACGTTCACTAATCACTCGTTCTGAATATCCTTTCCTGTGAAGAACTACGATTTGAGCACTCTGAACCTCGAAAATGTGACTACAATAGTCTTATCTAAGACTCTTATCTAAGACGTTAAACTCTAATGGCTGTTGATAAGACATTAAGCTGTCTAATGACTGTTGATTAGGCGTTAAATTCTAATGACCTTTGATATAAGACGTTAACTGATGAGGTGTCTTTCTTGATATAATGTTAAACTCTCTAAGGCGTTAAACTCTTATCTAAGACGTTAAACTCTAATGGCTGTTGATAAGACGTTAAACTCTAATGACTGTTAATAAGACGTTAAACTGTAATGATTTGGAGTAAACTCTCACTCTTGATACGACGTTAAACTCTAATGAGTGTTGATGAGACGCTGTGATAAGATGTTAAACACTAATGACTGTTGATAAGATGTTAAACTCTAATCTAAAACATTAAACTCTAATGGCTGTTGATAAGATGTTAAACTCTAATGAGTGTTGATGAGACGCTGTGATAAGATGTTAAACACTAATGACTGTTGATAAGATGTTAAACTCTAATCTAAAACGTTAAACTCTAATGGCTGTTGATAAGATGTTAAACTCTAATGACTGTTGATAAGACGTTAAACTCTAATGGCTGTTGATAGGATGTTAAACTGTCTCATGACTGTTGATAAGACGTTAAACTGTTATGACCTTTGATATAAGACGGTAACTGTCAAGGTGTCTTGATAAGATGTTAAGCTCTAATGACTGTTGATGAGACGTTAAGCTCTAATGACTGTTGATAAGACGTTAAACTCTAATGACCTTTGATATAAGACTTAACTGCCAGGTGTCTTGAAACTATAATGACTGTTATGATACACAGTCCATTATCCAATGATGTGGCCTAATTTGCATATGACCCCATTCATCAACCAATCAAGCGCAAGGTTATACTTCCATGCAGTGTATGAGTACATAAACAAGGTCAATAACTCAAAAAATAATTATCGGAAGATGAAACCTTTGCTGAAAGGCACATTTATAGTATCTTATTAATGTGTATACCAAGTTTGATGAAAATATCTTGAATAGTTTTGGAGTTATCCTCTGGAAACGATTTGTGAAGGACAGACAGACGCTGCTCGTTTGTAGATCTCCCGCCCAACTTTGTTAGCGGGTGATAAAAAACAAGACTAAGTATAAAGGGCATTCACCTGTTATCATATATTAAAAATTAGATATTATTCCTGCAGGGTGTTGCAATAAGTGCTAGAACAAGTGTATATATTGAAAATTAAAATAAGTGTATATATTGCATATTAGAATGGGGGTATATATATTTGATATTATATTTGAAAGTTTCCTTATATTGTATATTAGAATAAGTGTATATATTGGATAGAAGACTAAGTGTATATATTGGATATTATTATTAGTGTATATCATCACTATATGTTGGATATTTTGATTAAAAGTTCTTTAAATTTCAATTTTGTTTCTTTTTATAATATGATTTTGTCCACTGGCATTTTGTCCAATGGCATTTTGTCCTGTCACCTTTTAAAAATTCCTAAGACTTGGGATTCCTTAGACTTTTTCATTTTCAGCAATTCCTAGCATTCCTAGGATATTCCCATAGATAAAAAACAAATTCCTAAGACTTGGGATTCTTTGGACTTTTTCATTTTCAGCAATTCCTAGCATTCCTAGGATATTCCCATAGATAAAAAACAAATTCCTAAGACTTGGGATTCTTTGGCCTTTTTCATTTTCAGCAATTCCTAGCATTCCTAGGATATTCCCATAGAATAAAAACAAATTCCTAAGACTTGGGATTTCTAGGACTACAATTAACAAAAAAATCCAAGGAATTCCTAGGAATTTCCTAATAATCCTAGATAGTAGGAATACCTAGGAACAGTGACTTACCAAAATTCCTAGCATTCCCAGGCTTTTTCCAACTCTGTATATGTGTCCAAAGTGCTTGTACAATAAATCCTAGAAAAGTCCTAGGATTTTGTAAGTGTTAGGAATTATTTCGACAAGGGAGACAATGTAACTCTATGAGAAAACGAGAAGTGAAAAACAAGACTAAATTCAGCAGGGGCATTAGGGCATTTTACAGTCACCCTTTCCTAATCTTCTGGTACCACACCTGTTGATGCCCTTGACTAAATTCTTAAATATAATGATTTATATTTCAGTACATTTAACCCTATTAAGGCTGGGCTTTTCAAGGACTCCTAAACAGCCCTGGATAAGGGCTAGATAGACAGTTTGCCTTTCCCAAATCCTTTTCTTTATGAATAAAATATTGTTTTCACAAAAAATTCTACAGCAATGAAACTTTGCAGGAGAATTTTTTTTAGAAATTATAGAGCAAAAACAAAAAAGTATTTTAAATGAGTGTAAAGTAAGAAAAAATTTGTCATGTTTGCTAAAACTAAATTTTTGGTAACTATGGTAACCAGGCATGCTAAAAAAAAAATGTTTGCTATGAAATGGTTTATAAAATTCTAAAACTCACAAAATTTATGAAAATATTGCATAGTTCAGAAGTTACCAGAAAAAAATTGGAGGGTGGGGTCTCCAAGAGCCTCCTCCACTCCCCAGCCCAAATAGGGTTAAATCTGTTATGTCTTGATGGGCCACAGTGGACTTCTATGTACAGCAGGTGGACATGATATACAACACAAGCTGACCAGAACTAAGACTACTTTATTATAAGAACAATATATTATATTGGCACGGATATAACATCTTCCTTTTTTACAAAAAAAAATATAATAAAAACATAATACTGATAAAAAAAATTGAATTGAATAAAGTTTACTAAGTTTCATAATCTCTAAAACGTTTTGGCATAACTGATGATACTTGACCTGACCTGGTTTTATAAGGTTGAGAATTTGGGGGTCTGGGTGGAGAATATTTTGGATTAGGAGGATAAGGTATTTGTCAATTTGCAAAGGACTAGTATTTTGGCGAGGATTTACAACAGTTTGGTTCTTTGTTGTGGTGTATCATATCCCTCTAGATGTGTACATGTAATATCATCTGGTTGTCGACAGTATGTATCATCTTCTTTAGTCTTCAGCAAATCATGTCTACTACATCTCCATATATTACCAGTTTCCATTTGAACATTATAAGATCTTGGCTGTCTGGGTTGCTGTTCTGGTGCTAGGAGTTCAGCTGGTTTCCAATGCTTTCCTACTCTCACTCTAACTGTATCTCCAGGATGTAAAGATTCTAACTGTTTTGAACCTGGATCGTTTTTTGGGGGTTTTTTTAGCAAGCAATCTATTATCCTCCAATGTTTGCTGAATAGTTTTAGGATCAGTGGTGCTAGGTCTTAATAATTTTTCATTTGTAGGTAACTTGGTACAAAGTACGGCTTCCAAATAATCTTTGGACTGGCGATCCAGATTCTGTTTACATCTAACCATATCCAGTGATTACGTTTCTAGTGTAAGGAAAGATTTGTAATATAAGAATCTTCAATGAAAAAAATGGAATTAAACAGTTAGAAGGTTTAATGGATCCATGTGATTTAAAGCGTCGACACATGGATCCAAAATTTTCACAGTCTACAACAGAATACAATACAGAACAGCTGTATTCATCCGCAAAAAAAAATAGTACCTAAAATTCATGTACATTATATAGGTTTAAAACGTCAAATGAGGTCAAATGAATAGAGACGTCTTTAATATATACTAAATATTCGTATCATCCCAAATCGACAATAAAACAGTGAGAAAAAGGAAAATCTAAGTAATGGCAATCTAATTAACATAAAATTTACGACATAATGGATTCTTCAATGTTTTGATGGTGATCATGAAGAAAATAGGCCTACATCTGTTCTCAGGAATCCGATAAGATTTTCAAAAAAAAGATCAGTAGAATTATAGATTGTTATTCCACAAAGTCGAAAGGTATGTTAGATTTTTCATTCAGTCAAGTTAGTGTGAGTTTATTGCCGTACTTTGAGCTCCAAACCCGATAGAAATGAAGGCGGAAGTGGCCATAATAGTTTTAGAGATCACTACGTGATGGCTCTCCTGCATCGCGACAAACGGGGCCGATTTGTCAAGATGACTTTCATGAATTATTTTTAACATCTCTTATCTCATACTAGCTGGAATTATAACTCTATCACCTTTAAACAGAATACCTTCAACCACACCAATTTCATTTTTCGAATCAAAGTAACGTCTTACTTCAGGATCAAGCTGATTTCGTCTTTCTGGCCAACCATTATAAACTAATTTCTTTAATTTCTGTAATTCTTTACCTCTTTGTACAGCTTCTACTAACCCAAGAGGTTGGACAGGCAACCCTACTCCTTGTCACTTACAAGCAAGGAAGCGAAACCCTGTCACTTGACTCATTGACAGACCTTATGATAAAATGCATAGATGTTAACCATTCACCCCCCACCCCTCTCTGACATCATAGAAAGATAGAAAAAATATGCATTATTCAAGAAGAGTTTAAAAACTGTTTATCAGTATCCATATTTCACAATGAGTATGATCAAAATGGACAGTGAACAATCACAGGCCTACCCCCTAAAAGTAAAATTGTGTTCTAAGTTGATCAAGTCATGTGGGACACAGTCACAACTTGCACAAAGGGCAGGCACTTTATAGACTTTCACCACTTGGGCCATTTGAGGTAGTTATTTTTAGATTAAAATCTTTTGAGAGGTATTTGAAACAAACTTTTGATAGATAAATCAGCTTGTATATATTAACAGTCCAACTATATCATCAAATGACAAGGCATCTCTAAAAAGGAATTCCCTTATGACAGTCTATCTATGGTGAACACCTTGCCAGGATTTCTGCTGTCAAACCTAAAAGGGATAAGACAAAAAAATCTTAATTATATATTTAAAGAGTAGAGTAATTTACTATTGTATTGTTTATCACTCTAGTGTGATGATAAACTCTGAAATAAATTAAAACAAAAAAACAGCTTTTCCACCATGTTGTAGCTTACACCATTTTGTAGGCAATATTTTAAATCACTGAATTGAACCGTGTGGTGGTGGGCTGAAACGGGAAGAGGATTATCTTTATGTTCATTTCCATTTGTGCTTTATTTTCCTGTATCTTGCAGTTGATCAGTCATCAAAACTGGTAATTTGTTACATTTCTGAGTGACATCTGGTAATCACTATCTATTTCAAAAATACTTTCATTCGGTTAGACATGGTTACTTACCTCAATCGGCGTAAAGTGTTGATTCCAGGGAGTGGCTTGAAAAAATCCTCGAGGTAGGTGTGCCAATCATAGGATGGCACCATCACATTACCCTTTTCATCGCCAACTAGCTGGGCTCTATTAATTCCAGACACTGTGCTGTCTTCCACAGTTTTTTAATATCCTCTAGGGTATCTACATATGTTCTGAGAAATTTCTGTTTGAACAACCCAAAGCACCAGTCTGATGCGATCTTAGTGTGCCCAGTTATTAAAAAGTTTAATTATAGTGATAGTATGTTGAAGGTACCAAAGAAGAAACTGATTTTTATTCTGCCCGGAGCAGTTGTCGAAGTGTAGATCTAGATCTGTTTCCCCAAGTCCAAAATTCTCGAGGAAATGGTGCAAATATCAAATAATGGCATTAGATCCTTTATTACCAGACATGCCCTCATCTATCAAGTAAGTCATTTGCTGTGGCAGTGCCTCATAGCAAACACCAAATACTACACACTTCCTTGGGGTAAGAAAATATATAGGGCCAGGTTGATAAGGCTCGGATGGATAGTGAACTTGTTGTGCGAAGTCAAAACTATAATGCATGTGCATTTCTCTACTGCATGGTTATTCTGACCGAGTTGATTAATGCCAAGAGAACGAACAGAACAGTCTCTTTTGATGTTCTCACCATCTCCTGGTACACAGAATGTTCCATCGTGACAGTCATCAGGTGTTTTTCCTGCTTCCTTAACCTTGAAGATTTAACAATGTCAGAGAAATTTGCACTTCTGTAGACGGCATAGTTGTTTTTCTGACACTCAAAACAGAGATCTGACATAGGCTTTGTTTTTACGATGTGGGGGCAGTCTTTTCCATATGGATTTAAATGTGATTCCTGCAGCAGTGTGACCTGTAAAGAAAGGAGGCTTTTAGGTTTTTCACCAAATAATTTCAAATTCTGAAATGTAATTTTAATAAACACATGTGCCATACCATGACCCCTCCTACTGTGACTCAAAACTAGTTGCATATGTTTCTAATATTTAGGTTGGCTGATATCAAATTATCTTGTATAACTAAAATAGACCGTCGATAGCTATGTCAAATGAGTTGTGAATTTGAAAGAATATGTCTTCTAAAGATCTTACCATGTGCTTTTCTCTACTTCCTGTAATTGGGCCCCTTGATCATGACAAAAACCTCTCTAATTGATCACTGGTTATATTAAATCATTGATTAAATGTTTGATTTATAATCAAAGTTTTTTTTATTTATAATCAAAGTTTTTTTTATTTATAATCAAAGTTGTTTTTATTTATAATCAAAGTTGTTTTTATTTATAATCAAAGTTTAAAGGTGCATTTTAATCGTTGATTACAAAAAATTATAGTCAATGATTAGCTAATCTGACTTTTGAGAATACCAAACTTAGTCAACCACTAATCTCTAACTATCTTCAGAACCAGCTTCTGACACCATGTTAGTTGCTTGTTTTATTATAATATAGACAATGTGAGTTTCTTCCATCCAGCTCTTGTCTTGTGTTTTATTATGCCCTTCGGAAATACAATATCCTTGGGAAGCGTATTTCTTTTGAAGATGACATAAGGTTTTAACTTGCCACTATCTATATATCTGCTCTACCATGCAGGCCAATATCACCTTAAATCTGTTATTTTCATTACCAGTAGTTCTGATATTTACTGAAGATATTGGAAATCAAAATTTGAGAACAGAACTTCTTGAACAGGACTAAGTTTTTTTGTCATTGGTTAACTCATCAAACGTTAAAATTTAGATATTTATTTAAATACAAGAACCTAATTATTATGTTTGGTTTATAGGATGACTGTTTTTATTTCATGTACCTTTAGGCTTATACAAAGAGATATTGATAAGGGAGGTGGATTAAGATTACTATGGGCCAACCAAATAATTTGCCTCTAAGTCTAAGAAGAGCCGATTGTTATACTCTTGACCTGTTTATTGATGAAATGTGATTTGACTGTACAAACAGATGAGATATGTTTGTATTTCATAGTATTTTTTTTAAGTTTAGTTGAATTTTAAGTTTTAAATAGGATGTAGTATGAAATAAATGATTGGGTTTTTTTTTTAGTAAAGGGGCCATATATTCAGAAAAACTTCAATTTAAATTTTAAATATTTTAAGAATGCAGCCCATTCATTGATTAAGGGCTAAAGTTTCAACTTGATCAGTGAAATGTCTACATCACTAAAATATTTTAGTTTACAGATACATTATGATTATGTATGATTTAGATAAAGAGGTGGCCGACTTGCTAAAATAGTTAAAAAATAGATAATGCAGAATGAATAAATATATTGAAGATTTCATTTAAAAAACTGTTTGTTGTTTTGACAAGATGTGTGCATTGTCGTAACCACGGTTATTCAAGACTTAAACTCGCTCCTCCATTTTAAAATTAAATCATTAAATGGCCGAACCACTCTAAACTCTAATCTAGTTAAATTCTTGTGCATCCGATGGCATTAAGAGTTGATTATGTTAATAAATGTCTAATTAATCATTTATATAACATTTAAGGTCTGAAGAAAAACCTGCAATAGGCAAATTTAGATCTTGAATAATGTATCTTTAAGCTTTCCATGACATCGATATAAATATGTTAATAAAATTGGATTAGTTTATCTTATAGATTATAGAAGTATGCATTATTAAGTTTTCGTCCATTCTTACACTCACAGAGCATCTGAATATATATTTGATATACCTTATTTTCCAGTGTACAGGACATAGGGGTGTATATAACATGTTTTTCTGTCTTTTAATATGATTGTAAATATAACACTATGATAATGTCACACATGTATGTACTGGTAATAAAAAATAAATTGTACATAGATGATGTTGGGGTTTTTTTCTTTTGCCAATACATACATCAGTTCGTTTATTCTCAGGAACATTTTGATTTCAGTTATTTATTACGTTCTGAAAAGGAAGAGGAAAGAAAATAAAATATCCTTTGCCTTAAAATATGTTATTTTTTCGCAGGACCATTGACAATTATGGGAAGAAGGGAGGGGGCACAGATTTCAGAATGGGATACTACCCAGATATTTTGTGATGATGCAGCCTTAATTCTCTCTCAAAACAAAAAATAAATAAAAAAAACAAGCCAAACTATTGGTAAATGTCCCATATATATTTCTCCCTGCTGAATGAAAAGTAAATATTAACACATACATGTACTTCTTTCAGGTCATATTGTATGTTGTAGCAACCGTTGCAAGGAATGAATCGAGCAACTCAAATCTGTTTACTGAGAAATGGAGATGGTGAAATCCTTTATTTTTAAATTTTTGTTAAATGTTGTTACGCAATGTTTGCGATAGAATAAGTCTAAAAGTGGGCATATTTTGTCATCTTATGTCTGTATGGATTTTTTTTGTGGCCATGCTCAAGAGAATGTGCTTGAATAATTAGGTGGTTCCCTATTTAACATATTTGCAGTGATTATGTTTCCATTGCTACAAAAGTCAAGTGGTCAGGTTACATCAGATTGATGTTGATACAAGTTTTAAAAAAAAAGAATTAATCCAGCCCTTCTTTAGATTATTAATTGCTCAGGAGTAGGGAGAATTTTGATATAGACAAGTTTAAATCCCACACCAGTTTACAACTGTTCATTGAACTCAGTAAAGACATTCACCAAATGAACTTCTACAAAAGGTTTGAGCTTTATACTTCAATTAAAGTTATTGTGTTCCAAGCCCTCAACCACAGAGTTATATATACAAACTTTTCTACATATAACTATGCCCTCGACCAATCAAATGCTCACTGAACTTGCTAAAGACATTCACCAAATTAACATTTACATGTGATTTCAACATTTTTTTTTCAATTATATTTATTTTGTTCCATAAAGTGTAATTATCTGAGAGCTCCAAATGCTTATTATTAAACATAGTCAAGGTATTGATGTAATGAATTAAAGCTATACACCATGTTTCATATCTCTCACTCATTTAAATCAAATTATCTTATTCTAAATTCTTGACAAATCAAATTGCTTACGTCTGCTTAGCCTAAACAGAAAATACTCATCACCGAACTCAATCAAGACATTCACCTAATGAACATCTACACCAAATTTGAACATTATACTTCCATTAAAAGCACAGTTATTCTGTTCCAAATAATGTGACTGACAGACAAACAACCCAATTTCAGCAGTCCCCTGCCTTTAACCGTTTAAAAGGCTGTGAGATATTGATTAAAATACAAATGACTGGCTTTAAATTCCTTTGAACAGATGCCATTATTATTGCTCAGGATTAATTCATAAAGTTTATATTTGTTGTCACCCATGGATACAAGGACAAAAGACATTGATTTTTGGTTCAATGGGTAATATAATGTCGTATATCAATAATCATTTATATTTTATATTGTGAACAACAGGATAAAAAAAAGTTTCATCTCAATGCCAAGGAAGTTAAAGAACAGAATGATAGTTTTTTCATCTTTCTTTTTTTGAAGAACTGTCCTTTACCAAGTGTTAGTAGTTAGAAAATTAGATAGAGCTTAAAAGCACCAATGCATATGGGGAGTTTAAATGTGGTGCTCAAAAACACCAGTGCATGTTGGGAGTTAGAAAGTAGAGCTTAAAACACTGATGCATGTTCGTTGTCAGAAAGTAGAGATTTTAATTATTCTAAAACAAGGAGGGATGGGTTCTGGTTTGCAACCTACTGTTCAATACTATCTTCTAAGGAATCTTTAGAACAAATTCTAATTTCTATACACATCACAGAAATTGGTCGAAAATTTTAACAGTAGCCATCACATCTTTCATCCCTGCAAGCTTGTTTTATATTTTTAGGGATGAAGTTAAATGAAAATGTTTTAATGCTTAAAGATGCATTATACAGGGCTGGCGGAAGCAATTCTTGATTGGGGGGGGGGGGCTTCCATCCTAGGTCCTTATAGGCAAGGGTCCAGGGGCCGCAATAACCTGGAGAAAAGAGTACTCCGCCGGGCCTGTTATATAAGAGCTAAATCTGCCTATTGCTGACTTTTGTTATGGCTTCAAACCTTATTTCTTAGATAAATTATTATTTAGTCATTTATTCACATGACAAGCCTATAATCCACTCTCTAGAATATCAGATGTCCGAGATTTAAATGGATTTGAACACCCATTAGATTTAGAAATTTAACGATGAAATTGATAATGGAGATTTAGTCTTGGTTGTCAAGTATGATAATAAACAATCTATGCTACATCTTCAAACACTTATAACTTTGATCAGAATAAATTAATTTGACCCAAATTTTCAATACATTAAAGGGGCATTAGGTAACATTAGATAAAGAGCTGACAGTTCTTACTATAATAGTTTAAAAAATAGATAATGAAAAGAGAATATGTTGAAGATTTCAGTCAAATTGCTTCACTCTCAGTCTGAACCCAGATATTTGCGATTCAATTTTAGGCTGGCCACGATCGTCATTAGTTTTGATTATCCATATTTACGTTTATTTCATCCATTGCAAACTTATTCAAATCCACTAAATATCGCAGGCTAACTATGGCATCGAGAGCTGATTATGATCTTGATAAGTTAATTAATGTCTAATTTATAATTTAGATAACATTTAAGGCCGAAAGAAAGACCTTGCTATAGGCAGATATTAGCTCTTGCATAATGCATGTTTAATAGCAAGGATGGCCAGCTCTTTATCTATATCAGTGGTTCTTAACCTTTTTTTTGCCAACGGCAGTTACAGCACACCTTTGAACGCATGAAAAATTAGTGGCACACCAGGATAAATGTATATGAAAAATATATGAATTTTGCATGGAGGGGCATACAACCGTAGACACAGTCACAGACTAGTCATAGACAAATAGAATGACTCGACATAGACACATAGAATGACTCAACTAAATAAAGAAAAACACGGCTAAGAACTTACTTTATTGCAGTGTTTCAAATTTCATTCAGTCAAATAGCTGACTTCTTCAGTGCAAAATTTTTTAAGTGTGTCGTTCAAAATTTGGCGGCACACTTAGGAAGATCAAATCAAATAGACTATGTTAACCTTATATTGTCACCTCCCACTTCCTATTTCCAAGTCATTTTAGTCCAACCCTTGACTCTTATACATGTAATTTTACATTTTGTAATCTTTGAAAGGCATTTAGTGAAAGCGATATATAATAAACAGACAGTTTTATGGATAACATTCACTTGATAATGGTGAGAGTATCCTCATTGAAACTTGCAGTTAATAAATCTAGTGAATGTTATCCATAAAACTGTCTGTTTATGTAATCTTACTACATTATGGAATCAACGTCAAATCTAAACTTGGGTACCCCAAACCTTTCTAGTTTTGTTATACAACTCTACCTCTGGGTTTTCCAACTTTAGATTCATATTTAGCCTTATATCCCTCTCATGGGTGTTACCTCAATACCCCTGTCTATATACTATCCCTTTATTGTTATGACAAGAAGTAACAATGTTACAATCCAACAAACGGCATCCTAATTAGCAAGATTATGGACACTGTTACTTCAATCTAAACGATCAGTTGTCAAATCTCTATATATACAAACCCGGTAAGCGAGAAACCGACCAAGGTGATAAATTCGCAAACCCCGCCAAGAGGCCAACTCTGATAACCATAGAAACCCTTCCGGAGTTTCAGAATAGTATAAATAAAAAAGCCTGCGACATGAGTCCAGTCAGTATGAAGAGCTCAATAGGAACGAAACTAGTCACTGACCGCCAAGATAACCAGGTCAAGATAGACAGTCTTATCTTATATATTGATTGCTTGAAGGCTTTGTTTTAGTCAAGTGCTTCATAATTAGGTAATAAAGTATGATTATGTATCCAGTGTATTATTTTGTTTCTAGAGGCAACAATTAAAGGGGCTGAACCTCTAACTCATTCAGTGAGCCATTCGGATGAGACTTAAGATATTGGTGTGCAGGTAAAAGAACCCTTGACAGTTGGAATTTGAACTATGAGTATGCCGTAGCGCCGTGTACAGGCAAAATTTCCCTCATAGCACACCGCAAGGCGCTTCCCTGTCTTCATAAGTCCAGTTGGAGTAGAACAGTAATATGTTAAACCTCATTTCATTTCAACCGAACTGTTATTCTTTTTAGAATTTATCATCACCAGAATGTCCCCGTGAAGGAAATTATAATGAGAGGAAAACCCACAATATTCTGTTTGTTTAATATTTAATAATAATACCATAAAAAATAAACATTATAAGTGTAGAACAGCAGTCAAATACAGAAATAACATACTTCTAATATAACATCAAAAGTCTTGAAAAAATTTTAGTATAATCAAACAATATACAAATACTAATTTATGACAAATTTTAAACTTGTTTATCTTCATCACTCTATACTAATTATTTGAAATTTTAAGCCTATGAATGGGGAAGGTAATATTGGCTGTAAATACCTATAAAACATCCAATTTAAAATACTGAAGACAGCCTCACCACTTCCCTTCCAAATCTAATAAGATCAGCAATTAAACTTTTGCAAGTTGTTCAGAAATATTCTCCAATAATTAGTTGATAGGTCAACATACACAAAAAATATTCAAGATGCAATATGTAAGTTTGAGATAAAAAGCTTGCTGTTCTTGCTATGATAGTTTATGAATATATTGAAAATTTCAGTCAAATTACTTTATTCTGAGCAAAGTTATGTATATTTGACAAGAACAAGACTTGATTATCAAGTTCCATTGCTACAATAATAACCAAGTCTTGATTTTCAGACCATCAATCGCTGGTCTTTGTGAGTGACGCCCCTATCAATGTTTTTTAACAAAGATATAGCAGACATTGTCTAATCCACTCAATATCTTAATGATCTGATTAGCTAAAGAGTTGATTATGGACAAATGTCTAAGTAATGATTTATTTATCACTTGAAGTATGTAAATAGACCTGCAATAGGCCGATTTAGCTGTTACATAATGCATCTTTAAACAGAGAGAGAGAGAGAAATGGGGTTTAACGTCCACTCGACACAAACTAGGTCATTTTGGGACTAACATATGGTTTAATTTTATTTCAATAATTTGCTTGTGCGTAGGGGTCTTTAGCAGTTGGAGGAAACCGGAATCTTTAAATAGAAAATCTCATAAACACCAATATATACCAATTATATAAGCTTATCATTATCTGTAATTAGTACAAATTGTATCAAAATAACAATGGTTATGGTAATACTGACTCGGGACCTGAACTAATTGACTGGGTCAAATTAAGGTTACCTGTATCATTAATTCTTTGTGGGGGGCGGGGTCTTGTGCATTTAATCGGCTTCATCTACTGCAAATAGTGATTGGCCTTCTCAAAATGTACCTAACAATCCAAACCGGTCATACAACAAATTCTAAAAACTTTTTGACAGGCTTTCATTATTAACTGTTATTGCACTTTTTAAATGTTAATGGAGTGACCACCCTAATGCCCAGAACAAAAATAAATTAACCCAGTGTACCATACACTTAATCTACTGTATCGATGTGAAGATTATTCTATCACCCCAACACACGCTTTTAAAACATTAAAGACAAATAACATTTCTAACAAATTAAAGGATATATATTACTGAGATTTTTACTGATCAGGACATCAAACACAAAATGACATTTCCAACAAATTATTCCCTATATTTAAAAATACCAATAAAAGAACAAATATTATTGATATTTTTAACAATCAAGATAATTCACAATATCAGCAGACAGATCAATGTGAGGTAAGATTTAAAGTTGTAAATGGAAGAAGAAAACTTCACTTAGAAGAGAAACTAATGGAACATATATGTACAATATCGTACATCTTTGTCTGGGATATCACTACATTAAAAATCCGGTAGAAGACGAAGCTCAGAACATTGAAAATATATTTAAAAAATAACATTATTGTAACATAAGTATAATACCTATAATGCCTATTACATTCAAATTCATATTAGCAAAATAATAAAACTCATGGACAAAAACTTGTCTACAACTGCATCACATTCAGATATGTTATATTTTATCTTGATTTTCTATATTACAAGTGCCTATATGCAATAGTACAACAAAAATTGTTTGCCATATGAACTTGTATCAGGTGTCCTAAAGAATGTAAGCATACACAGTCTCATGTACAACACCTAGTGTGGCAGCTTGACTCACAAACTTAACTATGACATTTTTGTAAGCAAAATGGTAGGCAGTGCCTAATATTAAGTAGAAAAAGAAGATTATGTAAATAAATAAGAGTACAACGCAAATTTAAAGGTTTTTACAGCTGTGTTTAATAAAGATATATAAACAAAAATAAAACTTATTTTAAATGAACACTGGGAACGAAATTGATACATACATGTAACTAATGTGATTTTACTCAAAAAATGATGAAAGTCTGACAAGTGTTACCAGTATAGGTCTGGAGACATTTATCATGGTTTTATATCTATTTAATTAGATCTATGCAAACCAAATAGCAGCTGTGTGATAAATGGGCCCTTTGGTTCCTTTGGTTCCAGCACCTCTGTTCAGGATGGAGAAATTGAAAATATGAAAATTTACACTGAGATTCAAGGCAAAATATATCAAGCAGTAAGCATTTTACAAAGGTTATCGATCACAACTTTAACATTATTATCACAAATATTATCACACTAACAAGGTAAAAGTTAAGCTACTAGTCCAAGATACATATTCATTCAGTTAAATATGCATTATGTAAGATTTAGATAAAAGCTGACCTTCTTGCTTTAATAGTTCAAAAATAGATGTTGAAAAAGGAATACCGGTATATTGAATATTTTAGTCAAATTACCTATTTCTGAGCGAATTAATCAGAGTTCACAATAATCTTAATTGTCAAGTACCATTGTTACGCAGGGGTGTATATTACTCCAACAATGTTTTTTTTTTCCCTCAATATGCTTTCTGTTTTTCCTCACCCTGCCCCCATGAATTGAACTTTTCTCACTTTTTGTCCTCAATATGCCTTCTGTTCTTCCTCAGCTCACAATTAAGTCAGAAATATGCTTTGCCACACCAAAGTAGAAAAATATCATTACTCATTCAATGATGAAATATTTTTTTTTTTTATAAACCAATGACAATAGCCTCCCTCACAGCCAACAATATTTATTGGCAGAAATGGAATAATATATACCCTGGTTGTTATGATAATAAACAAAGTCTTGATTATCTATTTTTCAATTAAATTATAAAATAGCGACTGTGTTTAAATCCATTGAAAATTACAACCATCCAATTCTAGAGACTTGATTATGGGCTTGTCATATGAATAAATGTCTTGTCTTATTAATAATTTATTTAGCATTTGAGGCCATGGGCAGATTTAACTCTTACATAATGCATCTTTAACAATTCTAAATATACACAACATTTATACAAATACACTTTACGCAGTAAAGGGAATCGTTGCAACAATTTAGATTATTACATTTCAACAATGTTAAACTAAATATTTAAATTCTCTTAAGTTACTACCCTATTTTTACTTTATTAAAAGGGGAAGATTTACAAAATTGACACTACTTTATGTATAAAATGTATACATTTAAAGCTACCCAAATTTTAATTTCCTGAATTTTTGTTTACCCTACTTCAAATTATGAATGCATAACTTAGTTAATGAATTTACTTTATTGCAACATAAAATCATTTTAAGATCATGCATTTTGATGACATAATAGTGGAACCACATAATGAAGTATTACTCTGTAATATTCGATCATGTCATGGTAATATCCAGTAAAAATGACCTTCCCTACATATAAATCTAGTGAATATATAACAAGACCAAATAGGTTGATCAAACAAAACTGACATATCTATTCCAGTTCTTATTTAAATCTAATATTACTTAATCATTGCACACATTAGGTGGATAAGTTCAAATTGGTAAATATATTCATATATTCACTGATACTCATTGCGCAATATGTACATAGAACAGTATTTCGAAATGCAAGGTTTTTAACCCCTATTGTACATTACAATATTTACAAAAACTTGCTGAACAAGATAATGTATATAAATGACTATAAAGTACAATAAATGTATATATATTATTGGCCAATATATTAACCTAAACATGTATATTCTATAAGTACATATAAAATTGTCACCTTGACTTATATTATATATATAAACATATATTATACGCTTCAGTACAGATACACTGTAATTACATTATAAGTAGAAGTTCATAACTGTATTGTACAGAGGTTAAGTAGACAAAAAAAAAATGATAAATCAATATTCTTAAAAGTTCATAAATCTAAATTTATATCCTTCATATTATTAAACAGCAGTTGATCATTTTGAACCAAGGTCAAGAGTTAAAGGGGTTTTGTGGTATACCCTACTATATTATATGTGTTCACTCAACCAATATAAATATGTAAACACATTCCAAAAATATTATACCCCTATACAATACTGCTACATGTATATACAGTATAACCCACTAAACCTGTTATCGGATTTGTACTTTAACAAAAAAAAATCTGTGTAATCAAATTTGAACTTAATTTCTGGATTAAAGTTTCAAAACTTGGTTACAATAGAAAGGCTTACTATACAGTAGTTATATATGCAGGATTTGAGGAATTTTGGTTTTTAGACCTATCAAAAAAATACCCTTAACGGTGAAATAGTTAGGTGTTCCTTGTCCAATGGTTACTCCCCACTTTCTAAACATCCCACCAATACAGGTGTCGTTATAACTACCAACAACAGTAAAAAAAAATAACTTATGTACAATGTATATGCATATATAGATCTGGCCATAAACTAAGCATAGTCTGTGGACCCCAACAATGTCTGTCTATAAACAGCTGAGATTACATGTAGGTTTTATGTCTACTACATTTACAATAACCCACACAAAATATGTATATTAATATCACAACTGGTACGATTAGTTAAATTTATCCAAGTGATACGATGTGTATTTCAAATAAGTATTCGAGATTATTCATTAATCAATAATGAATACCTTGAGATTATTGATAAATGAGCTTAGTTGTAAGATTTAAAGAGACATTCTGTATACAATTAATATCCAAAGTCTCTGATTTCTATGCTTATTAATGACTGTTATTTTAGATAATTAATATCATAATAACATCAAGTATATCAAATACACATTTAAATATTAGATAAATCTGGCTTATAGAATAAATGACCAAATATATAAGTTATACTGACTAACATTTTCACTGAAGGACTTTGTTAACAATATGACAATTATAGAAATGAAATGAAATGAAATGGGGTTTAACGTCCTACTGTTCTGCTCCTATACTGGGCTCATGAAGACGGGCATACGCCATACAGTGTGCTATGAGGGAAATTTTGCCCAGGCAGCAGCACTATCGCCTACTCTTATATCGAATTCCAACTGCCAGGGGATCTTTTACGTGCATTCCAATATATACACGGGACCTCGGTTTTTCATATCATCCAAAGGACTAAACAGCTATCCTGGTTAGGCCCTCCGTCCTGCATCACTGACAAGGGGAAACCACGCCGGAAAATCTGGATGAACTTTCTCTGCCAATGCAGGGATCGGACACCCGACCTCCAGACAAGCGAGCCAGCGTCTTACCCACTTAGCCACGTGATCCCCAACAATTATAGAACTCCAAAACAAACAGTTATAATATGTAAAACAACCAAACAGTTTTAAATACATAAAAAAATATCAAAATATGAAATATATGAAATATGAAAACAAAACATCAAGAAGAATATTTCATGCAAACTGGTCTCTTCAAAATGATCCCTACATTATTTACAATTGTTACCCTACTGAAAAGTGGAAAAATTAATAAGATAAGAGAATGGTCAGAAACAGATCAAGCCACATATAAAGAAACCCAACTATAGTCATGGTCGCCATTATCTTACACAATCTATAAGTTCAATGAATCAAGATAAGAACAAAACATTATGTAAAATTTCAATAAAGAATTGGCCATTTTTGCTATATATAATAGTTTTAAAAAATATATAGATAATGAAAAATGAATATATTGAAAATTGCAGTCAAATCACATTTTTCTGAGCGATGTTATGGGTGTTTGAGGTGTAGTGTAGATTTCTGATAATCGTAACAACAGTAATTGCCAACTAAGTCCAATTAACCATTTTATCGTAAATTTTAAAATCTCACAAGTTTTCTAATCTATTTAAATCAGGATGGACCGTTAGATTTAAATGGAAATGAAATGGTGTTGAATAGTAGGACGTTAAACACCATTTCATTTCATTTCCATTTAAAAATAATGGTCCATCCTGTACCACTGACATGGGGGCAACTGTGCTGGAAAATCATCAGGAATTTTTCGGCCAACACTGAGTGCAAACACCTTAATACAGTAGTTAATTTATTATGTCTAAATAACGAAGATGAAAAAAAGTGTAATTGTGTAATTGTATAATTGAGCACACTGTAAAAATATTAGAAAATTCAACAAAACTATTAACACATACGTGATATAAAATATAGAGTCCAATGAAAATCCAACTTGAGCAATGTGATGAAAATTCATATATCACACATCACATGTAGACAAGCCTGGAAATAAGGCACCTGTCACAGACATTGTAAGGTATGAATTCAGACTTTGTCAGGTACCGTTTCTCTGCTGCCTGTCATTTTGTCTTGAACAGATATATCTATTTGCAGTGTTTTCAGTGATATTTCAAACACATGTCCAGCACAAACTGTTATCTGCAGGCCTGGATGTAGAATGAAATCAATTTACATATTTTAAAACAAAAACCATTGCTATAAAATTTGATTTGAACGTGCCACTGTAAATTGATTTCACATCAAAAATAAAAAAAAATTCCCTTTAATTTTGATTATCTTCTTAAACTGTAAATATTTTTTTTTAATATAAGGATACACTGTTAAACTACCTGAGAAAATTACAAATAAACCCTCTTTTTTTCCTTTTATGGGGACAAATTATACACATTTCTGATCTCCAAGTTTATATAAATACACTAAATCCAGCTAATAATTCAAAAGAAGAATCAGTTACAATTTTTTATAAGTGCTAAAACATTGAATCACAAAAAAGACACAAACATGGATAAGAAGCACTTTCTGGATTTCTTTTGAAAACTAAAATAATCCTGGTGAAAAATTCATGTTCTATTGTCTAAAGAATCTATTTTCACATAACTATTTGTTCATTGTCATCCTGGAAATCTTCTTCTTGCCAGTTAATATCCGCAGACTGAGTGACTAAAGCTTTCAACATACTCTCTATTCTTGAATTCTGTTCTCTCATACTCTTCATATTTTTCTTTATTTTCTTTAAATCAGTTTGCATCTTCTCCTGGGCTTCTTGTACCTTTTCTATATCATCAAGCTCTGGATTCAAAGCCTTTTGGATAGTATGAGCTGATAGAGATGATTCCACCTTAAAGATCTTGGCGACCGTGTTGTTAAAAAGCATGTTTGGTTTAATGGTATTTCGTTTAATGTAAAACTTTTTCTTCAAGACATCAGGTAGAATCCTCTCCACATCCAGCGCCAGTTCAACCTGCATGGCCATTCTCTTGAGGATAGCTTGCTCCTGGACAGCTTTAATATCATCAACAGCTAAACCAACCAACAAGTTCATGATAATAATTGACATCAATATCATGAAGACTACAAACAAAAGGTATGACACCTCTGGCATGTAGACCTGATCAGCTGCATCATTTGATGTGACTTCTGTGTTGAAAACATCACCAAATTCAAATTCTCCAATCATCATTACTGATGTTTTCATCAGTGAATTACCTACAGATCTGAAGGCAATTTGATTTTGAAACAGGGTGAAAAAGGCGAGAGCAAATGCAACTATGAACAGGAAAAACACTATGAAAAACTGAGCGAATGTTTTTAATACATCTGTCAACATGACCACATAAATTCCAAATCTTGGGAATTTCTGAATAAATGATACTAGATCCATCCAAGCCAAAAAAATAGACACAGCTCCAAGAGACCATTGCCAGTCATACCTATAACCCGTTATATCCTGGCATTCATTAAAATCTATAACCAGTAGTAAAGCAGTCACGTAAGTTACCCATTCAATAAGATTAGTCCAACCAAGATAGCTCAACTTTGCTTGAAATATCTGAAGTAACTCTTTAAGCAGATTAAACACAGCAAGCCCCAAAATTACCCATTTTCCTATCTTAGCAAAAGTATGTTTTTCTCTCTTATCTGTTAAATTGGTACAGTTGTTGCTAATAATAAGATCAGCATCAGTTCTTTTGTACTGGTACGGTGCCACAGTTGTCGTAATATAGCCAGTTAGAAAAACAAGAAAGATCGCAAAAATGAAGAGCAGGAGATAGTAAATGAATCTTCCAAATGACTTCCATTTATGATTCAAAAGAGAGGTCACTAAAGGATGTCCCAACAGATCTTCTCGGTTTGATGATACCATAATCATAATAGGATGATTCGTCTTCAATAAATTAGAATCTGAAGTATAAGCTCTTGCAGTATCACTAACTTTATTTTCATCCTCAAACACGCTGTCTGATGCTGATCCATATTCACTTGAATCTGGCTTGATGTCCATCCATGGTGCATATGCATCATCGAGAAATTCATAGTTGAACGTAATTTCATAGTTAGGTCTTTCGGGGTTCTTTTCAGCACCATAACTCAAACACTTGTCAAATACTTTTTCAGCAACTTCTGGCATTTTTCTAATAAGTCGTCTCATTGGGGTGTCTAGTATTCCTGTAGTAAGGTCTAATGCTGCATTCCGCAGAGCGTCTTCCCACACAGGGGATGCAATTATTGTGAAGGCAACGTCCATGTTGTGGTGTTCAATGGCTAAATCGAGACTATTATTTCCTTCTGCGTCACGTTGCGCGACATTGGCATCCCAGTCTAATAAAAGTTCAACAACTTGTGCATGACCTGCTCGTGATGCAAGATGTAGTGGTGTGGTGTTTGATTTATCCATTGGATCAATAGGTGCATCTTGCTCCAGTAAAATTTTACTGGTTTTTGACCAACCTTTTGAGGCTGCCAGATCTAATGGTGTCCACTGATTGTAGTTTCTTGCTGCAACATCGCTTCCAAATTCTATCAATATTTCCACCACCTTATCATGTCCATACATTGCTGCAAGATGTAGAGCAGTGTTTGAATCTTCATCTTCATCATAGACTACTGATTTGTCATGTTTAACTAGTTCCTTGACAATAATGGTTCGACCATATCTTGCAGCCAAATGAACAGGTGTTTGTTCTTCTTCGTTCTTTGAATCCAAATCTGCTCCATTTTCCAAAAGACACTTAACAATGTCTAAAAAGCCTTCCTTAGCAGCAACATGGAGAGGATCATTGCTGTATTTATCACCTGTATTAATCAATTCCTTCATACGTGAATCTGACAGCAGTGTCCGCAGAGTCTGAAGGCGGTTTTCCTCAGCAGCTAAATAAATGGCTGTTTTATCATCTTTATCTACAACTGTATAATCAGCATTTTTCTCTAGCAGCAACTCAACACATTCGGTTCTACCATACGTAGCAGCTAAAAGCAGTGGAGTGTAGTTATCTTTATCTCGACAATTAATTTTAGCTTTCCTGTCTACCAGAAACTTGACTACTTCACAATGGTTAAATTGAGCAGCTTTATGCAGAGGTGTGGCTTGTTCGTCATTGAGGACATCAATTCTTGCCTTATTGTCTACTAACAACTGAACAATTCTGATTTCACCAGAAACTGCTGCCAAGTGAAGTGGGTGCATATAATGTTTTCTTGGAACATTTACATCTGCCCTTTTCTCCAAACATAACCTACAAACATCATAATGTCCATTATCAACGGCCAAATGTAAACATGTGCTCTGTTCAATGTCTGTATCAGTCACCATATTGGATATCATTACCCAGCCTTCTGGTGTTTTGGCTCCTGCTTCAAACAACATTTTAACGATCTCAATATTTCCTTCAGAACAAGCATGATGGAGGGGAGTACTTTGTTCTTTATCACAGCACCGTAGATTGGCTCCACTTTCAATCAACATACGAGCAATTTCTACCTGGTTATGAATCGCTACCAAATGTAAAGCTGTTATTCCCTGGAGATCTTGAGCTTCAATATTTATTTCTTCACGAATGTTGGGGTGTGTACTTTTTCTAAAGCTGAGCAGATCTTGAGCAGCTTGTTCATTACCACGCATAGCAGCAAAACTTAGAGCGGTCTGACCATAAATATCAGTGGCATTGATACTAGCACCTTTTGTAATCAGATATGTGACCACTGATTCACCAGTTTCTTCTAAATTTTCATCACTTTGTTCCTCTTCTTCCGAAGCTTCTCGCTTTTTTTTTCGTTCACGTCGATATCGAGCCGCGTAATGGAGAGGTGTGATGCCATCTTCTCCTCTATCATTTGGATCTGCATTGTTTTCTACCAGTAATTTAACAACACTCAAATGATTATATCGTGCTGCGTAATGAAGGGGGCTTAACTCATCATCGTCATGTTGATTAATCTTCCGTTTTAAATGATGTTGCATGTGCCGTATAAGTATTTTCAGATTTTTTTCGTCGCCATCTCTAGCACATTGATGAAGAGTTAAATTAATAATTTCAGCACTCTCAGACCGTCTTAATCCCTCTCCATTGGCACCCCTACCTTCTTTATTATCAGATACTGACCCTCTTTCATCTATTAAATTTGACAACTCCATGTTTCCGCTATTACTAGTATTGAAATCAGGGTTTGTTCCCGTACGATACGAGTCTAACACAATGCCGTCGTCTTCAGACATGATAAGGCCGTTAGTTATTTACTACAGCCTTTATATGATATATAACACTGTAACAGTCAATAATCTCGTATTACGTGCTAATTAACTATAACAGATCTAGCTACCACTATGTTAAAACACGTCCCTTCGTAATACTCTTAGTACGACATGGTAACACAGCCTCGGCTTACATACACTACTTCTTCTGCACAACTCCTACACTTGAGCACAACAAAACATTTGTAAATACTGCTGATCGCTCTTCCAGCAACCATGCCACGCCCTTTTTTGTATTGCAATTGCAACACGTCGATCGGTATACGTAGTTAAGTAAGGGAGCACGATATTGATGTTGAGAAATAATCGAACGACCTTCACCTTGAAGGTTTGGGATGTGAAAACAGCCTGAACAGCGAACACTATGTATATTTTTTTAATCCTGTATTATACATGTACTGAGTTGAGACTGTGGCAGTTCAACAGAAATAAATCTATTTAATTTGTACCAATAACAAGAAAAGCCTAAGACAAGGGAAGTAATCGATCGACTAAAAATCCATCGCGATGAATACAGGATGCAGATACCCTAAGAATTGCCCATTGATTGAATGTTAGTTATAATCTCTTTCACCGGCTCTAACATTTCCCAAATAATTATCGTTGCACAGCGAGCCTTCTACCACAAAGAAATTACACATGTATCCTGGTATGATAAACCTATTCAAAGCACATGCAGGTGCTTTTCACATGGAAGAATATATATATGTCTTCCAAAAATAAAATTAATGAGGCTTAGCATTATGCCTATTCATGTGCAAGATATCAGCCCCAAATATAAGCGGGGTTTAACGTCCTCGCAACACAAACTGGGTCATTTCCGGACTAACATAATATGGTTTAATTTTATTTCAATAATTCGCTTGCTCGTAGGGCTTTTTTTTCGCAAAGGGGGGGGGGGGGGGTGTCAACACCCGCGAAGTTGGACTGCTGATTATCCCTATATTCCTTGTCACGTCACTGACACGTTGTAGGCGGGGAATATAACCTCAACCACTGGTCTCAATGGCCGCCCTAGCTGTTTTAGCAAAAAGTGAAGAGAGGAATCAGCTACAGAAATTTTATTTACAGTAGTTCGTGCATGAACGACAAAAATAATTAGTGGAATGGTTATGTTTATGTGTTGGCTTTATATGCAGTTACATCAACAAATTAAAATAATGGGCATTTAAGCGTAGGCTAAACACTATTGTGGTAAGTATTACACAACAAGATCAGTTAAGCTACTATCGCGTTCCCAAGGCTTAGGAACGGAAAGTCATGGAACGCTGAATATCGGTAGGGGTTCATATCGTGACTGCAAGTCAAGCGTACTGCTCACCAAATATGAAAAAGATAGAATATAGCTTGTATCTCGTTCACAATGTTTACGACAAAGTGGGTGTGGTGTGTGTGTGTGGGGGGGGGGTGCTTATCCACGGGGTTAACCTTTTATGATCACTTATTTCAGCTTTAAACTATTGGAGTCGTACCTTGGATCTATTACAGAGAGAGAGAGATGGGAGAGGGAGAGAGAGATCGTGTTTAACGTCCACTCGACACAAACTAGGTCATTTCGGGACAAACACATGTTAATTTTTATTTCAATAATTCGCTTGCGCATAGGGGTCTTTAGCAGTGGGAGGAAACCGTAGGACCCGGAAAAAAACCACGAGGTTGGACAGGCGACCCTACTCCTTGTCACGTACAACCGGGGAATCGAAACCAAGCCAGCTGACTCAATGACAGACCTTATGATACAGCGCACGTGCTAACCATTTCCCCCCCCCCCCCTCCCCACATACACACTCACAGCGGTTACAAGTTACACAATAGATACCCAAGATTTTGTAGTAATGAATTTAAGCCCAGCAATCGAGTGTCGACCCTTTCTTGGTCCTGATACTATATATTCTTCTTTCTCTAATCTTATTATATATGTAATTTAACCCCATATCCATATATATATTGATAATTATAATATATGTTTATATCATTTATGTATCTTGCTTTTGGGAAGCCGATTTATATAAGCCATTGCCTTGTTTCGGTATCCCGTGAATAAATATTGTTTAAATTAAAAAAAAACTAATGACCAACAAAATGCTCAGCTGCAACCGGTCTAAGATAATAAAACACGTCATACAATTACATCTTTTATATGAATGAATATAAATAGGAAACATACCCACAATTTACATAATGTTATTTTATACATAAAATGATGAACAACAAAATTAAATTCTCTGATGAACAGCTGTCTACCCTACTTCAAATTATAAATTACATATAGATAACTTATTCATTGGGTCAGGTATATAAGTAAATAACGGTAAATAAATTCACTGATATTTATTTCGCAATATGGCTTTTAAAATACTTATGTTTTTTTTCAGCCATATCGTAGGTAATGTAACCAAGTTTACAAAAATCTTGCTAGACAGTTTTCTATAAATGTGTAGACGGTGTAGGGTTGGGGGTAGGGGTGGGGAGAACCTATCTGTTCTATATATGTATGTAAACCAAACATGATATACGCTTATACACATATATATAGTTTACGCCTCAGTGAAGACACAGGTCACCATACCACATTATAAGTAAAAGTACAACCTACATTTGACAGTCAAGATCAAAATGTCGCAAGTCAATAGTCAATAAAAACTCTGAAGTTTTCATGAATTTAAGTTCATATTTAATTTATTAGTATATTCAGAATATGGGTTCAAACTTTATATAAAGTTAATACAATATAACAACATCCACAGATTTGATACTACAATACATATAAGTTCCTTTATACAAAAGACTTTAAAAGGCAGAACAAGCTAGATCGTTCCCATATTTCTCAAATGCAAATAAAATATGTTCTACTCTAATGTATATACTTCTGCAAGTACGCACATCCGAGTATCTTCAGGAAGAATGGGCTGATGTGTACCAAATATATCAGAATTATTATTACTGTATTTGTGTAAGACACATTATGATGGCGATGTATAATGAACAGAAGTCATAAGAAATCATAACAAAATATAGTAACTGCAGGAAAACCGCACTAAACATAAACAATTACATGTAAACAAGACAAACCTACGACAGGACATAATATACACAGACATTTCTAGCAATAAACAAACGTACAGCTGTACCACTTTTCTTCACGGTAAATGATGAAAAGCTAAAAGGTATGTCGACACAAACTGGTTTCAACACTGGTTTAATAACATTTTAAAGCACCTTTCGCCCGTCTTGGAGCTATTTATAAATAATGAATGGATTCCGGGGTCAGTCGTATGCGTTCAAGGCGCTGTACAGGCTTGTATGCTGTAGTGATACGCATTCAAAATGAATTGGTCGATTTAAAGTAGCTAAGTCTCTAACTCAATATCATCCAAAATCTTCGACATTGAAAACACGAATTATTTGTCAATTCAAATCAACATTGGTCTTGTGATCTTACAGGGAAAAGATGGGCTTCTGATATCCAATATTCAAGACAAAATAAACATTTTACCATTGGTACACGAATCGTGTACCATAATGCGTTTCAGCGCCATTTGAAACAAGAGACTCAAAGAACAGGGCTAGACATATTCCACAAGTCATGTCAAATGGTGACGCTATATTCTTATCTGGAGAGCATGCGCAATAAATACCATCGGTGTGGACTGGAAAAACCAGACGCTAAAGATTGCCATTCACATGAGACTTCTGTCGTATTTCGCCGAACATAACTGATTAGAAATTACAGTAAAAACAGAAACGATTGAATGTAAATCAGTTTATATACATTCATATTAGATTAGTATATGCGTTACAACCCATTTTGCAACCCATAATGTATATCATTAATGATCATTAGAGCATGTCGAGACTTTAACTAGCAAATAACAAACGTAGAACTCCAAAACGTATATTAAATATGTAAAAAGTATATAAAAATTCGTAAAAATATTTAAATATATAAAACAAATAGAAAAAATAAAAACACCTTTTCCGTCCATGCGTCATATTACTAAGAAGAACGTGGTCTTCCCAAAATGGTCCCAAAATTACATTTACAATTATTACCCTACTAAAAAGGGAATACATAATCTGAAAATGGTCAGGAATAAAACAAGTTTGACATAAATTCGAAAAGTAGGAATAAGCAATTGTTTCTACTGGGTTTACGAAACAGAGGTCTAGACAATAGAAAACGTCTATTGAAATTATGGGGGAATAATTCAAAATAAATTGGAGCCAGGTTCGATTACGTCTAGACAATAGAAAACTTCTACTGAAATTATGGGGAAATAATTCAAAATAAATTGGAGCCAGGGGTTCGATTACATCTGAAGATTAACATAAATAAATATAAAACAAAAGGATTATTAAATATATCCCATATATACACTTATATATGCAAATTATATAGTTTTCAAATATACCGTAACCAAACTTCAGTCTAATAAAAACTCAATTTGAGCAACAATAAAACAAAAGCCCTTATGTATGGTTTGATTATACTATTCAAATATTTTGACATAAGGATACGCTGAAATAAAACTACCTGAGATAATTATGAATAACCATTTGTTTCACTGCAACACACATTATCAACGTTTCTGATCTCAAAGTTGAGAAAAACACACAAAACACAGCCAATAATTCAGATGTATTAAAAACAAAATCACAAAAAGACACATACCCGGTACGTATATAAGTAGCACTTGTACATCCTTGTATATTGTGGTTCAGAAACAGGAAGATCATTTTAATAAAATGTTCAAAAAGGACACATGTTATAAGTAGCACTTAATACATTCTTGAATGTCATTGTTCACAAATAAGAAGATCGTTTAATAATAAGCAAAGGAACAAAAAGGACACATGCTTGTGTAAGTAGTAAGTATACATCCTGTATATTAATGTTCACAATCGGGAAGATCAATTAAGAAAATGCCCACGATTTTTGGATTTCTTCGAAAACTAACGTAATGCTTGATTTATGTTCTATCATCAAAAGTATTTTCACATAACTATTTGTTCATTGTCATCCTGGAAATCTTCTTCTTGCCAGTTAATATCCGCAGACTGAGTGACTAAAGCTTTCAACATACTCTCTATTCTTGAATTCTGTTCTCTCATACTCTTCATATTTTTCTTCATTTTCTTTAAATCAGTTTGCATCTTCTCCTGGGCTTCCTGTACCTTTTCTATATCATCAAGCTCTGGATTCAAAGCCTTTTGAATAGTATGAGCTGATAGAGATGATTCCACCTTAAAGATCTTGGCGACTGTGTTGTTAAAAAGCATGTTTGGTTTAATGGTATTTCTTTTAATGTAAAACTTTTTCTTCAAGACATCAGGTAGAATCCTCTCCACATCCAGCGCCAGTTCAACCTGCATGGCCATTCTCTTGAGGATAGCTTGCTCCTGGACAGCTTTAATATCATCAACAGCTAAACCAACCAACAAGTTCATGATAAGGATTGACATCAATATCATGAAGACTACAAACAAAAGGTATGACACCTCTGGCATGTTGACCCGGTTATCTGCCATAGGATTTGCGACTTCTTCGTTGAAAATTGCATCAAATTCAAATTCTCCAATCATCATTACTGATGTTTTTATCAGTGAATTACCTACAGATCTGAAGGCAATTTGATTTTGAAACAGGGTGAAAAAGGCGAGAGCAAATGCAACTATGAACAGGAAGAACACTAAAAAAAACTGAGCAAATGTTTTTAATACATCTGTCAACATGACCACATAAATTCCAAATCTTGGGAATTTCTGAATAAATGATACTAGATCCATCCAAGCCAAAAAAATAGACACAGCTCCAAGAGACCATTGCCAGTCATACCTATAACCCGTTATATCCTGGCATTCATTAAAATCTATAACCAGTAGTAAAGCAGTCACGTAAGTTACCCATTCAATAAGATTAGTCCAACCAAGATAGCTCAACTTTGCTTGAAATATCTGAAGTAACTCTTTAAGCAGGTTAAACGCAGCAAGTCCCAAAATTACCCATTTTCCTATTTTAGCAAAAATATGTTTCTCTATCTTTACTGTTAAATTGGTACAGTTGTTGCTAATAATAAGATCAGCATCAGTTTTATTGTATTGGTACGGTGCCACAGTTGTCGTAATATAGCCAGTTAGAAAAACAAGAAAGATCGCAAAAATGAAGAGCAGGAGATAGTAAATGAATCTTCCAAATGACTTCCATTTATGATTCAAAAGAGAGGTCACTAAAGGATGTCCCAACAAATCTTCTCGGTTTGATGACACCATAACCATAATAGGATGATTCTTCTTCAATAAATTAGAATCTGAAGTATAAGCTCTTGCAGTATCACTAACTTTATTTTCATCCTCAAACACGCTGTCTGATGCTGATCCATATTCACTTGAATCTGGCTTGATGTCCATCCACGGTGCATATGCATCATCTAGAAATTCATAGTTGAATGTAATTTCATAGTTTGGTCTTTCGGGGTTCTTTTCAGCACCATAACTCAAACACTTGTCAAATACCTTTTCAGCAACGTCTGGCATTTTTCTAATAAGTCGTCTCATTGGGGTGTCTAGTATCCCTGTAGTAATGTCTAAAGTTGCATTCCGCAGAGCGTCTTCCCACACAGGGGATGCAATTATTGTGAAGGCAACGTCCATGTTGTGGTGTTCAATGGCTAAATCCAGACTATTATTCCCTTCGGCGTCACGTTGCGCGACATTGGCATCCCACTCTAATAAAAGTTCAACAACAGGTGCATGACCTGCTCGTGATGCAAGATGTAGTGGTGTGGTGTTTGATTTATCCATGGGATCAATAGGTGCATCTTGCTCCAGTAAGATTTTACTGGTTTTTGACCAACCTTTTGAGGCTGCCAGATCTAATGGTGTCCACTGATTGTAGTTTCTTGCTGCAACATCGCTTCCAAATTCTATCAATATTTCCACCACCTTATCATGTCCATACATTGCTGCAAGATGTAGAGCAGTGTTTGAATCTTCATCTTCATCATAGACTACTGATTTGTCATGTTTAACTAGTTCCTTGACAATAATGGTTCGACCATATCTTGCAGCCAAATGAACAGGTGTTTGTTCTTCTTCGTTCTTTGAATCCAAATCCGCTCCATTTTCCAAAAGACACTTAACAATGTCTAAAAAACCCTCCCTAGCAGCAACATGGAGAGGATCATTGCTGTATTTATCACTTGCATTAATCAATTCCTTCACACGTGAATCTGACAGCAGTGTCCGCAGAGTCTGAAGGCGGTTTTCCTCAGCAGCTAAATAAATGGCTGTTTTATCATCTTTATCTACAACTGTATAATCAGCATTTTTCTCTAGCAGTAACTCAACACATTCGGTTCTACCATATGTAGCAGCTAAAAGCAGTGGAGTGTAGTTATCTTTATCTCGACAATTAATTTTAGCTTTCCTGTCTACCAGAAACTTGACTACTTCACAATGGTTAAATTGAGCAGCTTTATGCAGAGGTGTGGCTTGTTCGTCGTTGAGGACGTCGATCCGCGCGTTGTTGTCCACCAACAATCGAACAATTCTGATGTCACCGGAAACTGCTGCCAAGTGAAGTGGGTGCATATAATGTTTTCTTGGTACATTAACATCTGCCCTTTTCTCCAAACATAACCTAGAAACATCGTAATGTCCATTATCAACGGCCAAATGTAAACATGTGCTCTGTTCAATGTCTGTATCAGTCACCATATTGGATATCATTACCCAGCCTTCTGGTGTTCTAGCTCCTGCTTCAAACAACATTTTAACGATCTCAATATTTCCTTCAGAACAAGCATGATGGAGGGGAGTGCTTTGTTCTTTATCACAGCACCGTAGATTGGCTCCACTTTCAATCAACATACGAGCAATTTCTACCTGGTTATGAATCGCTACCAAATGTAAAGCTGTTATTCCCTGGAGATCTTCAGCTTCAATATTTATTTCTTCACGAATATAGCGATTATTGCTTTTTCTAAAGCTGAGCAGATCTTGAGCAGCTTGTTCATTACCACGCATAGCAGCAAAACTTAGAGCTGTCTGACCATAAATATCAGTGGCATTGATACTAGCACCTTTTGTAATCAGATATGTAACCACTGATTCAACAGTTTCTTCTAAATTTTCATCACTTTGTTCCTCTTCTTCCGAAGTTTCTCGCCTTTTTTTCCGTTCACGTCGATACCTGGCCGCGTAATGGAGAGGTGTGATGCCATCTTCCCCTCTATTATTTGGATCGGCACCGTTTTCTACCAGTAATTTAACAACACTCAAATGATTATATCGTGCTGCGTAATGAAGAGGGCTTAACTCATCATCGTCATGTTGATTAATCTTCCGTTTTAAATGATGTTGCATGTGCCGTATAAGTATGTTTAGATTTTTTTCGTCGCCATCTCTAGCACATTGATGAAGAGTTAAATTAATAATTCCAGAACTTTCAGACCGCCTTAATCCCTCTCCATCGTTAACCTTATCATCGTCAATAGTCACTGACCCTTTCTCGTCGATTAAGTATGTCATCTCCATGTTTCCCTTTTTTGTGTTGAAATCCGGGCTTGTTTCCGTTAGGCTTGAATCTAACACAACACCGTCCACTTCAGACATGATAAGGCAGGTTTTATGGCCCTAAAAAATGTCAACAACCTTATGACATGCACGTAGGCTGCTTAAATAACTGTTCTTAATGGTTTGTTAAAACACGTCTCTGACTTGGGGTGTTTAGAACGGTCATAAATAGTTCGACATACACCCGCCTTAGCTTAAAGACAGTAGAGCACAACTAAACCTGTATAAAATACGTTCAATCCTACTTCAGCCAACTATGCCACGCCTTTTATTATTTAGCAATACGTCGAACAATGTCGTCATGGGCGATAGATTTCGAAATTAGTGTGACCTTAACCCAATTCAGTAGTCGTAAATGTAGTTACCTCCCCTTAATTGGCTATGTTGTCTCTGAAACTTGAAGTTACAATGCAAGGCCGTTCTATACGGAAGACCATTACGGTCAATCAAATGAAAAAAAAAAATGATTATCTCGTTATTACAAGATAACCATGTCCTTATTACAAGATAACTATACCGTTATAACAGAATAACCACCTCGGTATTCAAAGATAACTATCTCGTAATTACAAGATAGGCCTAACTATCTTTTAATTTCAATATCCGGAGAAGTCCATTAGTGTCAATCAAATGAAATTATAAGATAATCAGTTCATTAAAATATATGGAGTTGAGAGGTCTATCTTAGCCCCCGTCTTCATTAACCCAGATCTCTTGAAAAGTACCAATATAATTTAATATTTTGAATGACGAAATAGATACTGAACGAAAAAGCTAACGACAAACCACTTTTCAGGTAAATTTTGAACCAAATGATTTCTGTCCACAAAAATACATGTTGCCCCCACAACCCCACAACCCACGGGCACCCACCCGGCGGCCACCCCCACACAATGGGAATCTTATAAGCATATTTAGAAATGTTTCATAAAGCTCTAAGAAAATCATCATTTAAAGTAATGTGAACTCATTTCCCGCCAATTTACACCCCCCCCCACCATCCACACACGCACACCTGCTACCCCCACCCCACCTCGTCACAAATCAAAACAGTATGCCAGGGGCATCATATACACTTCTTTAGAGATGGACAGTCCTACATGTAGAAATTTATGTTTTACTGATATATAACATGATCATCCTTTATGTCAATCACATTTTCCCCCATTTGTAGACATTGGACCCTCCATATCTCGAAAACGCCCCCTAACACACCTGATCACCAACCAGATTCGGAATCTACGCAAAAAAACTGGTCTAGAAAAACTTGGCGAAGATTGGGTGGCGATTCACCCTCCCCAATCCCATCTTCAGCCACCCGACTAATTATTATCTTCGTGTATATCACCTCTGCATACTTTTGTGTTATTATTTACCAGGTTTATGTACCACCCGAACGACTCGATGCAGTCCCTTGCCAGCCCACACGTCTTGTCGTCCCATTGCCAATGGGAAACCACGCCGGAAAATCCCTAGGATCTGTCTCCGTGAACAGCGGGATAGAACACGTATCTCGAAGAAAAACAGGCGGTAATGTCCGGGCAAATTTTCCCTCACACACTGCACGCTGTATGCGCATCTTCATTGTTTTTGCCAGATTTGGGCTACGCAATCATCGGTTGCAGTTTGTATCGGAACCAACAGAAATGTGATCTAAATCTCATCTACTGCAATGTAATTTTCAAATTTTGGGGATATGGCCCCCGAACCCCCATAACCCTAGGTAGGTAGTTATCTGTCTTACGACTACTCAAAAGTTGACCAACGTGTGGTTCTTTTTTTTTCTTTTTTGTAAACAATATTTTATTTCATTTGAAAATGGATTGGAGAACCGGCTGGGCCTATATTGACTCCTCTCCAGAATTGACAAAATTTTTTTTAATTTATATACAAACACAACATATATGAAATGAAATGAAATGGGGTTTAACGTCCTACTGTTAACAGAACATACATGTATATACAACAAGAACATATAAAATTACAAAATATAAAAATTATTTGAGACTTAAATATAAACTAAACATTATACAAAATATACAGTTGTCCGTTCCGTTACTTCATATCAGTTTTATTTTTATTTTTTTATATGGTACTAATGTAGTAGTACTCCCGCCCCCACCATATAATACTACTAAAACGTGAAGTATTATTTGGTATATGTATATATACATGTATATGAATTATAGAGTAAATACATCGATAACAGACGGGATGATTTGGACCTTAGAAACGTTTCGACAATTTTAAAGAGTTATAATGAACAGTGTTAACAACTGATTTTGGTTAACCGAGAGGGCATTCTGATCATTTAATAAAATACCAATATCTTGAAATTGCTGGTCAAGGAAATCAGTAGTTTGTCCACGGGCACCCGAATGGATGTAGCATATTAATATATAATGCAATGGTAACAATCTTCAAAATGGTGTCCACACGCGCAGGCGGAGCTATGTCTCAAAAACTTATGATCATTTAAATCGCTGCAGTCTAATCTCAGTTTACTATGTATTATTTGATATTTTCTATCTCCAATATAATAATACGGTGGAATATTATCATGGTCGTTTTAATCAAGTTTGTAACACATGATGAGAAAGAATCTGAATTTTGTACTTCGGGTACCAATGTATTCCATTCTCTGATCGTCGACGGAATAAATGCATCTAAAAAAATATTTGTTCTACAAAAGTACAATTTCTTAGACGATATGGCGATTTTTTCTTTAAAATAAGGTTAGAAATAAAAGAAGGGGCTAGACCATTGATTAACTTACAGAATAATTTTAATTTGTGTCTTCGTTGACGTTCAGCTAATGAAACAAATCATCCAGTGCCATCTAACACTATTTTATTACCCAATAATACATTCTACAGTAGATATCGCTTGTGTAATATATATCATAATATACATTTACATTAATTTGATTGGTCAGTTGAAAAGGAACTGCTTTTTTTTATTTTCAAAGAATAGTTCATTTCTTATTAAAAGTAACCCTTTTTTTAAATTAAAAATGAACTATTGTTATTCAATTGGCCTTGATGGAAACACTTAGAACAGGAGCCCAGGGGGTTAACCTAGCTGAAAATGAAAAGTGTACCAATTTTCTCCTATATGGTATCAATGTATGTATATCTGGTATCATCAGAATGTAAGTCTGCCGGGTTTCTGATGGTGGGTGTTGTATTCTGCGGTTGTAGGAACAATTATATTTTTCAAAAACGCATTTTTAGCCCCATAAAATGTTTTTTGCCATAAAATCAATCGCAGTTTATCGCCTCTTCTATACGTGCTAGGTATTAGTATCCTACGCATCTTGGCTAAAAATCTAATTTTTTAGAACACGGGAACAGTGCCTGCGAAGCTAGCCTAGTTGGGGGCGTGGCATTTTGGTGCGTGTCTGTTAGGGGTAACCCACCGCACAAACTGTCTGGCAGTGGTCATTCCTGACTCCTGTGGTGGTACTGAACAACTCCAAAGCTGTTTTAGGTGGTACAGATTTCAGCTAATCTAGCCTAGCTCTAGATAACTCTTGTCAGGGATACTCCACCACTATAAATGTCTGGCAATTACATAGCTCTGTCAGGGGTACCCCACCACTAGAAATGTCTGTCAGAGTGTTTTTGTAATACCTGAAGATGTACGGTACACTGTAGTAAGATTTTCGTGTGGTACACTTTTGAGCTAATGTAGCCTAGTTGGCGATCATGGCATTTAGTGCGTGGAATACCACATCCACCACCAGAAACCCGGCAGACTTACATTCTGATGATACCAGATATACATACATTGATACCAAATAGGAGAAAATTGGTACACTTTTCAGCTAGGTTGACCCCCTGGGCTCCCGGTCTAACTGGGTCAATATAAAGGATTTTGCAATGGTTGAAATGCTGTCAAAAAATGATGTATCACTACGCCGTAATGTTCAGTAAAAGTGTAATCTACAGCAAAGAATTATATTTATCTATTTGTGCATGTAAGAAGGGATTGGGTGATAAATAAAATCTCCTACTCGTCTTTTTTGATATAAAAAAATATCAACATTCGTTGATAAAGTAAAAAAAAACTCAAAAAAGACTGGTAGGAGATTCTCTATGTACTCCAAAATTTCAGTTCACAGAAATAACAGACTGGACGTAGCATTTTATACTAGCATTAAATTACAAGATGTTCTTGTATAAGCATTGGAAGTTTGAACCATATGAAACTAAGTTCCATACATAAGTAAATTATTATAATCGTACAGGGGGGTTGGATGGCTGAATGATTAGCACGTGCGCGCTGTATCATTAAATCTGCCTATTGCAAGTCTTTATTTAGGCTTCAGATGTTACAGAAATTATTAATTAGACCTTTATTTACACAACAAGCTTAAAATCAACTTTGTAGACCCACGGATGGCTTGGATACAGTTTGGATTTAAACAGCCTCGTCCATTTAAAATTAAATCAATAAATGGCGGACAAAGCTAACGTTTACCGTTACTCGCTGATGTCACAACCTGAAACTGGTGATGAAAAGCCTGCCAAGCGAGGCTACCATAGCCATTGAGCATGTTACTTGATAATCGAGAATATGTGGGTGGAGTTATCGTTTGTCAATCAATTGATGTCTATTTCTAGTCCAAACTTCTAACAGTGACAATTCCGTTCAGAACAAAGGAATTTGACTGAAATTTTCAACATTTTCACTTTTATCATCTTTTTTTGAATTATTATAGCAAGAATGGCCAACTCTCTATAAAACTCTTAACTAATGTATCTTTAAGTTAGTGTGTGTTTGGGGGGAGGGGGGGTAAAATACGGGTTATCGTGTAATCCATGACTGGAAAGTATTTTTGTATTCCTATCTCAGTATATTAGTTGTTCCCTGACACATTCATGATTACATGATTTAGAAGTGATAAAACACTCTTTAGTTTAGAAGAATGTCGCTATCAGACAATAACCTAATTCCTGAAAAAGACTACTTCAAATTTATTTTCTTTATCGAAAGCTCGGCCCGTTTAGCCATACTACGCACATGGTTTCACTAAAGTCACGATCGTCGAGCGAGTTTTTTTATTGTATATATGCTTGCTCACTTTTTGTATGCCATTTTGATTTCCACTCATGTCGTCATAATGTTCCGGTTCGTTGAATTTCGAGAAATGTCTTGCATGATTTGTATTTGGAGATTGGTATTTGGAAATTTGTTGTCCGAGATTTGTTTTTCGTTGTTTGTCTATGATGAAATGTAAATGTAGACTAATTTTTTGATTTTCTAAAATAGATTTTATCTTTA